TGATAGTTTCATATGGTGTTAATATCATGACCTTCAGGATATGGGGATTCTCTTGGTTTGGATCGAAATGGAGTCACAAGGTTCTTCTCAACTAATGTTGGGAGTAATTCCTCATATGTCATCAGAATTGGATTAATGCGAGTTTTTTCACGAAAGATATTATGAGGTCTAGTCCCCATATTATCTAGGTAAGATCCCATTATGTTGATCTCAGCTCTTTCTATAATGTCAGTATGGCTAGTGCCTCTTATCTGGCTATTCTTGATAGTTGTTTCGATCATTTCTCCACACATGATGATGTCAGAGAAACTCTTGGTGGCAGATCTAGCCATGTAGTTGATATATGGAGATTTTAATGTGTCGATGAATAAAGTGATGAACTCTTTTTCAATCATTGGTGGATGCACTTGAGAAGCAACATCACTCCATCATTGTGCATATTGTCAGAAACTCTCACCACTCTTCATCTCCATATTTTGTAGCGTGGTTTGATCAGGGGCCACATCTATTATGTGTTTGTATTGGCCCAGAAAGGCATTAGCCAAATCCTTTCATAAGTGGACTTGAGTACGACTCAGTTGATTATGCCACCTTGAAGCATGTCTAATCAAATTGTCTTGGAAGCAATGGATCAACATCCGATCATTGTTGGTGTATCCAGTCATCCTTCGAATAAACATCGTGACATGGGCGTTAGGACAACTGGTTTCATTGTACTTTTCAAACTCGGGCATCTTGAATTTGGGTGGAAGCACTACGTCAGGAACTAAGATTAGTTTTGTTACATTCATTTCATTACGAGAGCTTTGTCCTCCCATTCTCTGAAATGTCTATATGTATTACTATTTTTAGTTCTCAAGGATCTCATTCTTGGCTCTTCTCATCGCCTTAGGAACGGATACGTTATGATCAATAGAATTATCCTTAGGATATAATACAATTGCTCGAGTTTTAGTGGCAGAGAAGCCTATTGGATGGCTTGGAAGCTTGTCGGGCGAAATGAGCAGTTGTGGACTAGTCTGTGCCATCACACATTTATATGCTTCTCTAGTCGAGGAAATCTTCTCTTTGCCTCTTTCTTGGTTAAACCCAGTCAGTTTGGTTACCATTTGGTCAACTAGGTCTTTTTGGTTTTGCAAGATACGATCCATAGTGGCTTTTTTCTCCTGCTCTATTTTAACCTCCCACTCTGCTTGTATCTTTTGCAAACTCTCTTCCAACTCTTTCTTCAATTTCTCAAATTTTTCATCCATTCTCAGTGTTGTGTGAATGCAGTTGCACAGTTAGAACCACTTTCTCAAAGTCCTCATAAGGTATGATTAATGCATGTAAAAATGCTTAGATGAATGTTATGCAAAATGCAATGATACAAATGGAGATGCAAAAATATTAAACCCAACGATGAATATCGTAGAACAATTTTCACCAGAGATAAAAACCTCCACATTACAAGATAGCCCGCTTTACAGAGATGCCTTCACTTAGATGTTAAGTTTGATTTGTCCTCGAAAATGATGCCCCTCAAGCGTTGTGTAACCTAACTCCGTTACTGCCCTGGTGGTGCTGAAATTAGTGTGTCGCTCTTTGGCAGTTAATGATGAATTGATCATATATAAGAATATACTGCTGGATTACTCCTTGGATCAATGGATCATTATTTCAGCCTCGAATGTTGTACAGGATCTTCAAGCAAGTCTCATTCTGGTATTCTGAACTTCTTTTAGCCCTCGATGCATGTTTGTGTACGCGACTGCTGGATTGAAATTTTTTATCTCTTCTTGTAAAAATTTTCTCTCGAATATCCCCTTGCAAATCAACACTTTTCGTATTATGTCATGACGATGCAATACAATGCAAAGAATGATGAAAAATAACACAAACAAAAGAGAAAAACGAGTTAGTAACACAAACAAAAGAGAAAAATAAGTTAGTACAAGCAAGATAATCAATAGAGTTAAAAATGTTATCTACAGATAAACATAACACATACCCGATCATGCTTTTATTAGATAGTAATCCTACCCAGACATGTTTTCTACCCACAATGATTAATTTCAAGGAAATGATCCTAACCGCATGGTATCTAATTCGCATGCTTTTATTCAACAGAATTTAAAGCAAAAAGGAAAGGTTCAAAAATGCTCATCCTTTGTGTACACCTATTTTGGGTACTTATTGACGGACAGAGGGTCGGTATGACTATACCTAAGGTAACTGTTCTACGGTTCACTATATGCATGGTTTTAGCTCTAAAAGGAAAATGGTACTCGAATTATCCTTGATGTCGCTGCCCCCTTAGGCTGTCAAACCCTCGATCCTCACTCATTACAAGTTTTGAACGGAAAGAGTTCAATTCAAGAGGATTCAATGCCTTATACACATACGAGGAATAAATCCCTACGAAGGTATAAAGTATGTATCCCATGGGTTATTTGCTAAAACTCATACAAATAATAAATTCTTACGAGAGTAAATCAATCGTCCCGACTTATTTGGAAGGAAGCTCGTATATAGAGCTTATGTTATGCAAATGCAAGTGATGTGTGTGAGGAGGAACGTACCTACCTTTGACTCAAAAACGAAAAAGAAAAAAACTCGATAAAAACTTGGACGGAGCTAAAAACAAAAATGTAAATGTTGTTATGCCAATTAAAAATGAAGCAATTAAAAACTTCAATAAACAGATCATAAGTTAACTAAAGACTCGAACTCATAATTTCCACCACAACGACAATGTGTAAGTGACTTACATCCTGACTCTCTAAAAAAATCCCCAGTGGAGTCGCCAAGCTATACTAACCATTTTTTTTATAAAATAATTAAATATTTTTTTTAAAAAATGATTATGACTTTAATTTGGAAAAAATTGGTGATTTTGGATTAATTGAAATTAAATTGAAAAGCAGTCGCCATCGACCTTTGGGTTAGGTAGGTCGAATATCTAAAAACGTCTTTTAAAATTTTTTTTAAGAAAATTCATTTTTTAAGACAAAAAGTTGGTATGGGTTGACAAAGATTCGATTAAAACAAGTTTCGGAGTCGGTTACGCGTGGGGAAAGATTAGCACCCCACAACGCCCAAAATTGGTATTGTGTCGCTTACACGTTATCGAAATGGTGGAAATTATAAACCGAATATAAAATAAAAATATGATCCAATTATTGTAGTTTAATTAATTTGCTTCGAATTAATTATTAGGGAAAATCCTTTAATTCAAAAATAAATCTCGAAATTAGCAATCCTCCATAGGGAAAGCTAATTCGACTATTTCTTATCAGTAAAAGAATATTCCCTCCTTATTGATTTTAAAACATGAATCGAATATGAAATGAAAATTGTCATTTACATAAAATAAACAAATTGATATTTTGAAACGTACATTACACCATTTGAATAAAACATATTAATTAGTAAAATAAACTAGATTTTATTTCAAGTCTGCATATCATTAAAATGTCGTATCGGATCGCACCACTTCGACCAAGAGATGTTTTCCACGCTCATTCTACGCATACGTGTTCTTGAAATATTAGAATAATATTAATATTTAAGGAAATATAATAGAAACAAATGTGATGAGAAATGTAAAATAAAATATTTACAACATAAAATAATAACATTTATTTAATGTTATACCTAAAAATATGCAGCATGTTAAATATATACATTCATAATGGATTAAAATAGAACAATAAAAAAGTTTAAAGGACCAAAATATGATTAACAGAAACTTGAGGACCAAAATAACAAAAACAGAGACTTAAAGGACTAAAAATAATAAGAACAAAAACTTAAAGGACTAAAATAATAAAAAAAGAAACTTAAAGGACTGAAAAGTAATTACATAAAAAACAAAGCCAAAATAAAAAAATATTAAACATTACAAGCACTAGAACTAAAAATATCCCATAAATAATATACATGACTGAAATGAAACAAACATAAACATAAAGGATCAAACAGTAATTAGACCAAATATCCAGCAGAGACTAAAATAAAATAATTATAAATATCATGACCAAAATTAAATATCAGCAAAAATACATACCACACTAAATCAATGACTAAATTGAAATAATTACAAATATTGTGCCCAAAGTCAAATATTAACATAAATAACAACATAAGTAAGAACATGACTAAAACGTAAATGTTGAAATGTAAATGCTCAAAGTCAAATAAATTGAACTTTATTAAACAGTTGAAAAATAAGATTACAAAATCAGAGGAACCAAAAGGGCTATTATCCCCAAGCCTGAAAAACACGGAGTGGGTGAATACCAAAACGACATCATTTCGCTCATAGTATTTAAGCCCAAAATGAGGTTTTTTCTCTCATTTCCCCCTCACTCTTTCATTTTAGCAAAACCAGAGAGGGAGATAGAGTTAAAAACTCTCTCAAACTCCCTCGTCGGAGAAGAAGGCAATGGTTGCCGTCAACGGAGATCACGGCGGCTGACAACGATCGGGGAGAGAAAATCACCCCAAAAGTCTTCCTCTCATCACCCTCAACTCAAAACCGATCATCCTTTAGCCTAAAACCGCCCCTAAATCCATAGATCTAAGGGATTACCTCTCGAAGCTCTGGAAATAGGCGATCTATCGGCTTCCTTGTACACCCCGAATCAAGGTATGTTCCTCTTTTCCTCTTTTTTTTTCTTTTCGCGTTTGATTCCAATGGGATGAAGGGTTTTCTTTAGTTGGGTTTCGAATATATATCCCCTATTTTTCCTCTCTGGTTCTTATCAAATGGCTCTCCTAGTTTTTTTATCCTCACCGAATGGTTTCTTTTTTCTTTTCTCTGTCCTCGTTTTTATTTATGGTTGCTTGATGGTTTTAGGGTATTAATAATGAAGGCTTCTCGTAGGAGCATGGGTTTCTGATTTTTGAGTAGGTTGAATCCCGAAAAATCAAGATTTAGGGTATTTTATTTGGGGTTTTCTGACATTGGTTGACTTCCTCTGATTTGAGTGATATTAGGCACTGTTCGGACTACGTTGATGACGCCGGCGGCTCAGGAGTGCTCGGCGACGGCTCACGCGTATGGGGAGAGGGTCGGTAGAGCTCACGTGTCGATCTGGGGAAACTTGAACGTTGAAGGCGGCGAGTGGTTGTTAGCTACGGTTAGGGTTGTGAAACCTTATTTGCCTCGGGTCGGGTCAATTGAACTGGGTCGAATCTTGGGTTGGTTCGGATCAATCGGGTCGACTGAACCTACTGGGTTTTGGGTCCTGTGTTGCTTTGGGCCTCGATTGGGCTTCTGGGTTTATTGTTTGAGCTTGGGGATTAGCCTGTAAAATGTAATAATGAATGTAATTAAAATATTAATGATAATAATAATATAAATAATAATAATAATAATAATAATTAATATTTTTTCGACCCGGACAAAAATAGGTGTCTACATTTGTTACGTGTGGTACTAGGATTGGATTTTACGCAGATCGTAAGCGATGTGCATCCCAGCTTGCAAAGGACAAACCAGGAACAGTCAACGAATATCAGCAATGGTGCATTTGAAGGTTTAGCGCAGACCATTAACAAGCTGAAAACTGAAAGAAGAACCCGAATCCTGAAGGTATTTTATACCTTCCAGTAGCTTTCGTAGTTTTTTCTTGTGAAAAAATTGAATTTAAACTAAGTTTCTGAAATGAAGTTGAGGGATGTTGCGGCCGAACTATTTGAACTCTGGAACCTGATGGATTCCCCCGAAGCCGAGAGGAATGCTTTTTCGAGGGCCACTTCTATTCTTAGATTATCAGAACCTGAAATCACTGAACCAGGTGTTCTTTCAACCGAAATGATTGAACAGGTTGGACAGTGGTAGTAATCTGAATTTTTGTTAATTATTGGAATATAGGTGCTCAAATTTTTATATTTTTCGACAGGCATCAGCAGAGGTCGAGAGGCTTACCAAATTGAAAGCTAGCAGAATGAAAGAACTTGTTATGAAAAGAAGAGCAGAATTGGAAGATATCTGCAGAAAGATTCATATTGAACCCGATGCAAGTACTTCTGTCGAGAAATCTAATGCATTGATTGATTCTGGTATTCGTCTCGTGTTTCTTTGCAACAATGTCTTGCGTTTAGACAAGTTCTCTTTTGATTTTACTTGCTGCTAACATGGTTAGTGATGGATATTGCTATGTTGTGCAGGTCTTGTAGACCCTTCTGAGCTTTTAGCAAACATTGAAGCACAGATAACTAAAGCTAAAGATGAAGCTCTGAATCGAAAAGAAATAATGGATAGAATAGACCGATTGCTTGTGGCATGTGAAGAAGAAAATTGGCTTGAAGACTACAATCAAGTAAGAAAACGTTATGTGTATCTCGTGTGTTCTCCTAATCTACGTTTTTCTCTTCAATATTGCTTGTTGTAGACTAAATACAAGTACGTTGGCCAGTGATTTTCTGTATAAATTTTTAAAGCGTTTTTGTTTAATCTTCATTTTGAATTTCAGGATGTAAACCGGTACAACGCAGGGCGAGGTGCACACATTAATCTTAAACGTGCAGAAAAAGCTCGAATAACTGTAACTAAAATTCCTGGTATTTATGCTCCTTATTCTTCTTCTAATTGACATATACGTTTGTATTATTGAGCTAATAAGGGTACCCTATGCAGCAATTGTGGATGATCTGATCAATCGAACACTATCTTGGGAAGAAGAAAAAAAGACTTTGTGTCTGTATGATGGGGTCAGTAGTTCTTTAGCAGCTCAAATTTCTGTAAACTCGGACAGCCATTATCGTTTAGAATTGGTTCTGAATAAGCTTGTTTGTAAAATAGGTGCTACTAGTGTGGATACTGGAAGACTACAAACTAACAAGGAAACAAAAAGAAGAGGAAAAAAAGAGATGCAGGGTAATTTTAGATCTGCTTTATGCTTGTGTAAATATTATTGATGAGTTCCTTAGGTCCCTTCTAAATTGTTTAGTGCGACTTTTATATGCTAAATGCCATTTTCAAGTGAGTCACATTGGATATCAGCATCGATCTCTACCGCTAAATACATGCATAAACATTTTCGTGCCTATTCCGTTTCGCAGGACCAAAAGAAGATCCAAGATCTGCTTCTGACAGAGAGAGAAGCGATTTATGGGTCAAAACCTAGTCCAAGGAGAAGTAACAGCTTCAGAAAGACAGTTGGTTATCGAGCAAATGGAAATGGATCCATGACTCCCAGTACCCCACGTCGGAGCTCGGTGGGAGGAGCAACACCTGACCTGCTTACACCACGATCGTACTCAGGACGTCAAAATGGCTACTTCAAGGAAAAGAGAAGGTTGTCTACAGCACCTCTGAACTTTGTGGCTATAACAAAGGAAGATGCAGTTTCTACGTACACATCCGTATGTGATTCGGAGCTGGGGTCTCCCCCACATAGCTAAGGAAGTCAGAAATGGTACGTTTGGCTTACGCCGTTGACCACCTTTATTTTTCTTCACTTTTAACGTTGATCCGTTCGGTCCCTTGAAAGAAATTCTGTTTAAATCGCAGGAAGAGGTTACACGATGTTACAGTTGCAATAAATGTAGATTGGATTGTTGCAGCGGACCTTGTGTTGTGAATACAAAAGAAAGGGTATGGTAGATTAGTGTATGGATTGTGAATTGGTAGGAGTCGAACAGGACAAGTGACTGACATTCGAGGTTCGAATGAGATGAACAACGATATTTTCCTTCGAGGATAGGGAGAGAACAAAACCTATAGGAAAAGAAACTAGTTTGAAAACCGTGTTTAACTTGTTTTCACTTTCTGGCGTTGTATGTTGTATAGATAGCATTGCTACTAGTAGTAGTTCTGGCCTTGCTTTCATGTTTCCTGGATTTTGCTTATATTTTAAGGTCTAATGTATGTATGCATCGTTTGAAACATATGTTTGTAATGTACATGCACATATTTTAGTACAATCCGAATCCGATTCATCGTATTCAGTGTCATGTTTTACTTGAATGGTATAAATATAAACATAAGAACAATTATAGCCCATGATTTTGGCCATTTGTTCCCAAAATAGATGCTATAAACTTATCTTGAAATATATGCCAACAAAGTGCAATACAGGCAGTCATCGCTAAATCACTGCTCAATTTTCCAATCATAGACTGTTGGTTTTCAGTTTGTTGAACCCAAAATTCTTGTTGACGATAAAAAGAAAAGAAACAACAAAAGTCAGGAGGGCTCTCAAGTTTCAACACAGCCCAGGCTCCCCTCAAAACCGGCGACGAGTCGGCTCTGGGAAACATGAAGCTCTGGAAAAAGGCCGTTGGTGCTATCAAAGATAAGAATAGCATTGTGGTGGTCTATATTTCCAGGAGGCATTCCTTTAGAAACCCTGATCTTGAGGCAGCCATTATAAAGGCCACAAGCCACGATGAATACTGCATCGATAAATGGAATGCCCAGGTCGTGTTTTCGTGGATCCGAACGTCGCCGTTTAGTCTACTCCCTATTGCGTGGGCGTTGTCGAGGAGGATGGAGAAGACTCGGAGTTGGGTTGTGGCCATTAAAGGGTTGATGCTCATGCATGGCGTTTTTCATTGTAAGGTGCCGGTCGTGGAAATGATGCCGCGTTTACCGTTTGATCTTTCGAGTTTTAGCGACGGACATTCGAAGCCAAACAAATCCTGGGGTTTCAATAGTATCATCCGTGAATACTTCGCGTTTCTTGATCAAAAGGCTGCCATTTTGTTCGATCAAGATAACAATAAAAGGAAAGGCGAGGATCGTTCGTTGATGGTGCAACAGCTTTTGAGACTGCAGACATGGCAATCTTTGCTTGATTCGTTGCTCCAAATCAAGCCAGGAGCGGAGAATATGAAGGTTAGATTGATCCTGGAAGCCATGGATTGTGTCATCGTCGAGATATTCGACGTCTACGGCATAATTTGCAGCGACATCGCAAAGGTTTTGCTGAGGATATATTCCATTAGCAAACAAGATGAGCTTTCCCACTTCTTCGAGTTTTGCAAGGAATAAGGAGTCTCAAACACTGGTCAATTCCCCACGGTCAGTCAGATTCCCGAAGAAGAAGTCAAAGAACTCGAGAGAATAATCGATGGGGCTTCGGTTTCGGACAAGACATCAAGGGACAGCAACGAATGTTTCAAGAAGAAGAACCAGATGGAAATGGCAACAGTTTTGGAAGAACACACAAAGGGGACCTTGAAAACGATAATTACAGACAAATGGGTGGTTTTTGACGAAGAAAACATAAACATCAACAAACAACAATATGCAAATGAAATCAAAATTGTTGCAGGAGGAGATGTTGCTGCTGCTAAAGATCTACTACTACCTCTTGTACCCGTTCACGATGCACATGTTTATAATCATTATCAACTTCCAGATTTAATTAGTTTTTAGCAGTTGGAACTAGGGTTTCAAATCGCGGACGCGTTTTCGATTATTTCGGATTTCCTGTGATTGCGGCCGTCGCGGGCGCTACTGCGGTCGTCGCGGACGCTATTGCGGCCGTCGCGGGTAACTCGGACAGCGACGAAACTGCTATATCACGGACAAAATCGCAGTCCCATACCGTTTTTTGAAACCCTGATTGGAACATTAACACTCCATCAATTCTTTTTGGAGAAGTCTAAATAAAAAAACAAAAGGGTTAGATCTAAGTTTAAAAAAATATGTTCTTTCCCTGTATGTTTTGGTTTATTTTGTTTTGGGTAAAATACACTACATACCATTAAATTTTAGACGGTGTATCGTTTATTAAGTTGAACTTTCAATTGATCTAATTAAAACATTAAACTTTGGTTGACATAAATTATTAAAATCCAAATGAGGTGATAGAATGTACAAAATGAGATCATTTTGGTACGATTATTAATGTCAAAATAACAATGCTATAGGCACTAAACTTTAAGAGTATATTTATTTTGCTACTACACTTGTTAAAAATTCACTTTTTGATATTGCAATTTTTTTACCGTCATTGTGAAAGAATTGTCATTTGTAACCGATCGGTATCAAAATGTTGATCTTTCATTCTTCTTTCTTTTACTATAATTGATTTTTCATGGGACACACTCAAAATCTACTAAATTATACAAAAAAAAAATCAGTTTTTAGGAGTTTTGGGTGTTTGTTTGAAAATTTGAATGGTGAGAAGTATTATTTAGATAAGACGAACGAGATACTTCAAAACTAACATCATTGAACAACCATCGGAGGAGACCAGAGTATTAGCACGTCGAACCTTTCGATGAATTTCGTTAATTTTGCATGGAGAACCAATTCGATGAGAAGAAAGATAAATGAAATGTGAATATTTTAATATCGATCTTTCCATGAGTAATGATTGGTGATAAATAATGATTGATTGCTAGTAGCGATGAAAACAATTAGCGTCTAAAACAATGTCTTTTTGGACATCAATGACCATGTCAAAACGATCTTGTTTCATCCATCAGTCTGTCATTATAATTATAGAAAGATCTATCCACATCACCATGTCAAAAATTATAGCCCAATAGTGACATGTTAAAATGCTCTTATATGACACTTTCATTCTCTCCTAAATTGTCGATTCAATACCCCATTAGGAACAAAAACTCTCCTTCACCCTCCGAGTAGAAATTGTTTTGAAAAAAAAACTTCAACAAAAATAACTTCATTTCTCCTACATTCATACGTATTTTTCTAAGATTTTACCAAATACATGCAGTACAATGACATGAGATCTTATAGTTAACACTTCCAAACAAGTTTTATGTATTCCATGCAGATAAATGAAACAACCAAAAATATGCCATTGAGGTCGGTTAAGAAGATAGCCAAGGAAAGGAGGGCATTTAACTACCAGTCTTACGTACAACTGCTGAGTTGACGAAAGGAGATTACCAGACAAATGAAAATAAAACCTGATCCACAACTTGAATGTCAATGACCAAAATAAACTGATGTTCTTAAACCACAAAATCATAAAGGAAAACTAATGACGTTTGAATTTTAAAACATTGTTACGATTCGGGAAATTCAGGAGCCGCAAGGCACCGAAGAACTCCGCAGAAGGCCGTAGTGATATATACAGGTAAAGCAGACCATATGCAATGGAGCCCCAGTATCACTACCACCAATCTGAATCTACCGGATAGTGACAAACTTGTTGGTACCATGTCTTGCCCAATGAGTCCTCAAATCGATAGGGTTACTGAAGTTATAGTTTTCGCCAGCAAGTTTCTCGAGGACCTTCTTGAATGCCCCCTGACTCATTTTCCGGCCAGCTATCCTTGCGCCCCGCCTTTTGGTGCTCATTGGTAAAGGATACATGGATACATTTGTGGTGCAACAGGCAGATTGCCAACCACCACAACCCCATCGGTAACATTGCTGGGTGGTTCCAGTGCATGAACAAACAGGAATTGGAATGCCAGAAATATCCATGTCGTACCCGTTTATCTTAATATCCATACTCTTCTTAGGCGGCTTCACACGTTGAACAGTAGAATTGGTGTCATCCTTGGGCTTCCTAGGCTTTTTGGCCTTTGGTGTCTTAGGGCCACCCCCGCCCTGCCTTTTCTTCGATTGTAAGTCTTCCTGACTGGCCGGTGGCTCTTCCACTCTACCAACCACCCTCTCATCTCTTGTTGACGTATCAGGAGGTGGTAGCTGCAAAATCGGCAATGAATGAGCTGCCAAAGTTTCTGGAAGAATGCCGTAACTAGGAGCAGTGGAAGGCGGCATCATGCTGAAATACTTTTCTCTCTGGCTAATCCAAGTATCCCGAACGTAGTGTATGGGGATAGGTGCGTCCGAAACAATGCAGTCCCTCGGGTTAAAGGCGGAATTGGGAGTAACCATGAGATTGGGGTCATGACCGGGAATAAAGGGCTTCGTGTCCCGCTCAGCCATGCTAGTCATGAGCTGAAGACCAAGATGTCCTTTAAAAGATGGTTCATAGTAACCCCAATTACGCATATTCAACGCATCGTCGTCCATTAAGCTACAACATATAATCAACAACACAAACAGAATAAACTTAGCCAGTAACTGACTGGTTTCATCAATGCAATTCAAATCCCACTAGCATTCCCATTTACATATATAACACATGAAGCCAAAGAAAACAGAAACAGTCAAAACAAAACCTGAGGCGAGAATTTCTGAATCTAAACGAAAAACCCACCTCCCATGAGCTAAATTTCATAATGGCAGCCTTTACATTTTCCCAGATCCAAGAAATGGAAACCAAAAATCTCAATCCATAGGGAACAAAATATATTTAGCAGAAATAGGAAAAAGATATAAGATTTCAAAGAAGCAGAATCGAAATCTATAGATACGCAACAGAAAAATGGAAACTTTCAGATCCAAACTAATTCCTACATCGCCACATTTACCCAAGGCACACATATTACATGTATCAAACCCCATAATCATATCTAACAATTACAGCTTGAAAAAACTTCGAATAAAAAGTTGATTAAAAAATCCCAGATCACTTTAAAAAAAATCCATGCTCAAAGCTCAAACAAAATGGTGCAACAAAGGAGAAAGGACCCTTATATTCAAAATTGGTGGAAAGAGAAAGCAGAGAGAGAAAGGGGCAAAAAATAAAGAAGAAAAAAAGGGGACGGAAGTGAGAGGAGAGAGAAAACTTACTTGGGGGTGTAAACGGTTCTTTAGGGTTTTTCCCTATCTGGAAAGGGAAAGGGAAAGGGAAAGGGAAAGAGAATGAGAAAAGGCCTACAAATATTAGAAATAGGGAATTCAGAGCATTCTCTTTCCTATATATATATATATTAAAAAACTGAAAATATATGAGTTAAACAACTAAACTTAATAAATAAACGGTAAGTGATAATTGTATAAATTTTAAGCTCGAGTTTTTATATGTACAAAAGATTTCTTCTAAAAGTTAATAAAAAATAAAAAGTAAAAAATAAAAAATAAAAAATAATCAACCATAGATATTTATCCAAATATTTCACTGCTAATGCTAATACCATCTCCTTTTAATATATATTAAATATAAAATTGATGGTATAAAACATATTTTACAAATTATGTTTAGTAGCAGATTCAAAAATAATTTTTAGGGTGTACATATATATTAATAATAGAATTATTTTATGTGGGATAGACATAAATAAAATTTCAGGATGTACTTTATAAATAAAATAAATAACCAACATAAAATATTCAGATTTCAAGGTAGACATAAATATGGCAATTTAACCCGAATCGAACAGGTTCCGACCCGACCCGACAGGGTCAGATTTTTTTAAAAAAAAAAATTTGGGTTCGGGTGGAGGTTAAAAAAACTCCAACCTGACTCGACTCGAGGATAATAATATTATTTCCTTAAGTTTTTTATTATTGTAATTAAGTCATTATTTTATGTCGGGTCAGGTTGGATTTATACTCTAAAAATTTGGATTAGGTCGAAGTCGGGTGGAGGGTATATATTTTTCGGGTCAAGCGGAAAGTATAAAATTTTTGAGTCTAGTTCAAGTGGAGGATGCATATTTTCGAATCGAATTGACCAAAAATCTGACCCGTTGCCATCTCTAGGTAGACATATACCACCTAAAATATTCATACATATGAGGCTGATTATGTTTCAATATTACTATTATGTGTTGTTTAATGTTTAGAGTTCCAAATAGTATTAATATATAAATGACATTCAGAAAGAAAAAAAAGTTATGTATGGAATAAATTTTTTTGTCAGTAACTGAAAAATACTTCTTAAATGAAAAATTATTTCACGTATTAATAGTGGACAAGGTATTTCACAAGTAGTGTTTTTTTTAATCAAATGATTTATTGATTAATTAATTCAGATTTAGTATCACAGAGATGAAGGTGACTTTCCCGACTCAATTTGCTTTATTCACAAACATCAAAGTTCGAGTCACAAATATAAAAATGACTTTCCCAACAAGTAGTGTTTTTATCGTGTATCTTATTTTGGGTTTAAGATTATATATTTTAAGATTTAAGTTTTAAATTTAAGTTTTATATTTTTTGAATACAAAAAGAAACAATTAAAACCTAAGGTTAAACTCGTACATTTGCAGCGAAATTTAATTTTCAAACAAATGCTTGTTCTTTTATATTTTAAACAAATGCCTGTATTTAATTTTTCTTCAAAGAGCTCAAATTTTTGTTTACAAATTATCGATCGTATCCCGTATTATTTTTAGAATCTTTTTGAGTAAATTACTCGGATGATCACCTAACTATAGCTTTGGTATCAATATGACCACTTAACTATTTAATTAGTTTCAAGATAGCCACTTGTCGTTAGTATTTGACGGAAGTGTTGATATAGTAGTTAATAAAATTGGTATAATTATATATTTGATCCATAATAGTTACATATTCTATCAATTTAATTTTACTTTTAATTTAATTCAAAAAAGAAACCATCCAAACTGGATGTGTCACGTGTCAACCGATTATTTTTTACACATTTCAATAGTGACACGTGTCACCACCTGATTAGAGAATTTTTAATTAATTTTAATATTTAATTCAATTAATTTTTCCACCAATTAATATTTAAAGAGAGAAAAATAAGAAGAAACATTTTAAATTAAGGGATGAACCAAAGACCTCAAGCATTAGAGCTCATGCCTCCATCACAAGTATGTCTGTAAACGAACCGAACGTTCAGCGAACCATTCGTAAACTGTTCGGCTGAAAGTTCGTTTATGTTCATTTTTTATTAAACGAACGGACATGAACAAGATTTTGTGTTCGTTTAATTAAATGAACGAACATGAACAGATGGCTCGTTCGTTCATTTACGTTCGTGAACATTTAATAATATGTTCGTTTATGTTCGTTCATTTATGTTCATTTATGTTCGTTCGTTTATGTTTGTTCATTTATGTTTAGTCCAATCTCTCTAGACCCATTTAAATATTAAAGCCCAATAAATTTTAATCTGATACCCATAAATATTCAATTAATTTTAAATACAAATAAAAAAAACTCAAAACAATTAAATAAAATATAATCCTAAAATTGTTAGAAAAGAAAAAAAATTCATTTACGTTCATTTATGTTCATTTATTGTGTTCGTTTACGTTCGTTTATTGTGTTCGTTTACATCCCTTTGTTTATGATCGTTCATTTGTGTTCGTTTATCATATAAATAAAAGAACATGAGCGAACACGAACAAGTTGAATTCCTTAATGAATGAACACGAATAAATTTTTTGTTCGTTTATGTTTGTGTTCGTTCATTTGTTCCATTAAAGTTAAACGAACGAACATGAACATAACCCGTTCGTGTTCGTTCGATTCGTTTATAGGCCTAACTACATGGTTAAACTCAACATTTGATTTTAAATTATACAATGTTTTATTTATCTGTTTTAAATCACGACATAAATTAAAACAAATCTAATAAATAAAACATGTCTGCTCCATATCTTGTTGGGATTAACAAGAGTGGTTTTTCTAAATCCTCTAGAAGTGAAGAATCCCCTGAAGATATGTCCTTGATGTATGCAGAACTACGAGGAATACAACAAACATAAGTACCCAAAATTATAAAAAAGAGTTGGAATCCTCTTCAACGTGATTATTCTCACCTCCTAAAAGTTGCATTTTATTGAAGCCACTAGGAGAGAAACTCCCGGACAACGTTGGCACTGATCATCACATGCCTACCACTGGTGCTTTAAATTAACAAGCAGATGTGGGTTTCTCGAAAGGAAATGCTTGTCGAGAAACCAATATGTTGAACCTATTTTTATACAACAAATTTAAAGGTAAAATGTTTTTGGATTTGATTGAATTTATTCAAAAAATTCAAAAATAATTCAAAGTCCATAAAACTTGAATTTGAACACAAAACCATTTTTCTGGGTGAATAGTACCGATATTGTTCTTATAATATCGATACCGCATGAGCAATATCGATATTGTTCTTGCAGTATTGATATCAAAGGTAACACAGGTATCGATACTCTCATGACAGTACCAATACTTCCTTGTGTCTTCAAATGTGTTCAGATTCCAATAAGCAAAAATGGTACTAATACTCAAAGGAGTATCGATACTAGTATCGATATCATAACCACTTTATCAATACTCACTCAGCCCAACGATAAAAAATCACTAGTTTTTTAAAGGTTGTACCGATACTCATTACCCGAGTACCAATACTCTCTGTTCTAGGTAGTTTTATTTTGCAGATTTTTAATCTCCAACGGCTAGAAATGGCTGCAAACTCATTCCAACATATAAAAACAAGTTGAGGACACTTTAAGAAGGTTACAACACGTATCCAAGCAATCCGCATCAAGAGAAAAGTTTTTTCAATCTTATTTTTTATTTTCTCTTGTACATAGAGTGTTTTTGTGAGCTTAAATTATAAACTCCTACTTTTTAGAGGTTTTCTTATTTACATTTCTTAATCTTTTTTAAAAAGAAGAGTGATTCTATCTTAGCCATTGAAAAGATAGGGATTTGTAAAAGGTTACTCTTGAGTCTAGGAAAAGAAAGAACAAATTAGTTAATTTGTTAGAAATCCTTAGTGTGGAGCCAAAGTAGTGAATGTAGACTTCATTTGGGGAAGTTAAACTACTCGAAAGACTTGGGCAAATTTTTCTATCATTTTTCTCCATACCCAAAATTTTCAATTGGCCAATTCACCACCTATTGGCAACTTATTCGATTGACCTATAGAACAACAAAAATCCTAACAACTAGTATTAAAAAGGGTCACAATCGACGATTTAACAATCTTGTGAAGATCCTTGAAGCTCTCTATTAATTTTCCTTTCAACCGAGAATACGACTTCCATATTCGATGCGTGCAATCTCGATGATTCATACTCCATCACTAGGCCACCTATTTCAATAGAGAAAATTATTTCTATTTGAAGAATATGATGAGTTTGTTCATCCAAGCCACTTATCTTACGGTATGGGATGCCATCATCGACGGTTCTCCCGTTCCTCCAAGAAATCGATCTGAATAGACAAGTGAAGATATGAAGTTTTCCCAACTCAATACCAAAGTCGTGCACATTCTCTTTTGTGCTATTGGCCCAAATAAACATAATAGAGTATCTTCATACTCTAATGTTAAGGAGATATGGGAGAAGTTGGAGGTTGTAACACCCAAATCCGATTAAAATGAAACCCGGTGGGTTTGAAAATTATATAGGACCACCGAAGTGTCTAACCCAAAATTTTTCTTAAAACATTCCAATTTCCAAATCTCAGTCCATCGCATTTAAACAAAATAAGATAAAATAATTAGGTTTACAAAATCGGGGAGCTCCCAAGAGTTATGACTCGAATACAAAAAATGGTTTATAAAATACATGCCCACTAAATAATCAAGGTATACTCTGCAACTACTGATATCTGAA